ACTCCTAATACAACAGCTAAATTCACTTTAATGACTTCAATGAATCCCAATACAACAACACAACTCAAATCAGAAATTTCTTCATTGACTCCCAGTACAGTAACACAACTCACATCAACAACTTCTTCAGTGACTCCTGATTCAACAGAATCCATGTCAACAACGTCAATGATTCCCAATACAACAACAAAACTCAAATCAGAAATTTCTTCATCGACTCCCAGTACAGTAACACAACTCACATCAACAACTTCTTCAATGACTCCCAATACAACAACACAACTTAAATCAGAAACTTCTTCAGTGACTACTGATACAACAACCCAACTCACATCAACAACTTCTTTAATGACTCCCAATGCAACAACACAACTCACATCAGAAACTTCATCAATGACTCTTGATACAACAACAGAATCCACATCAACAACTTCAATGACTCCAAATACAACAACACAACTCACATCAACAACTTCTTCAGTGACTCCTGATACAACAGAATCCATGTCAACAACTCCAATGGCTCCCAATAAAGCAACACAATTCACATCAGAAATTTCTTCAATGACTCCTGATACAACAACAAAACTCACATCAGAAACTTCATCGATGACTCCCAATACAACAACACAACTTACATCAACAACTTTTTCAATGACTTCAGATACAGCAACACAACTCACATCAACAACCTCAATGACTCCCAATTCAGCAACACAACTCACATCAACAACTTCTTCAATGATACCTGAATCAACAACACAACTTACATCAACAACTTCAATAACTCGCAATACAACAACACAACTATCTTCAACTTCTTCAATCACTCTCAACACAACAACACAACTCACATCAAGAACTTTTTCAATGACTCCTAATACAACACAACTTACATCAACAACTTCTTCAATCACTCCCAATACATCACAAGTCACATTAACAACTTCAATGACTCCTGATACAACACAACTCACAACAGAATCTTCTTCAATGACTCCTGATACAACAACAGAGTCCACATCAGCAACTTCAATAACTCCCGATACAACAACACAACTCACATCAACAACTTCTTCAATGACTCCCAATACAACAACACAACTCACAACAACAACTAATTCAATGACTCCCAATACAACAACACAACTTAAATCAGAAACTTCTTCAGTGACTACTCATACAACAACCCAACTCACATCAACAACTTTTTTAATGACTCCCAATACAACAACACAACTCACATCAGAAACTTCATCAATGACTCCCAATACAACACATCTCAAATCAGAAACTTCTTCAATGACTCTTGATACAACAACAGAATCCACATCAACAACTTCAATGACTCCAAATACAACACAACTCACATCAACAACTTCTTCAGTGACTCCTGATACAACAGAATCCATGTCAACAACTCCAGTGGCTCCCAATACAGCAACACAATTCACATCAGAATATTCTTCAATGACTCCTGATACAACAAAACTCACATCAGAAACTTCATCGATGACTCCCAATACAACAACACAACTTACATCAACAACTTTTTCAATGACTTCAGATACAGCAACACAACTCGCATCAGAAACTTCTTCAATGTCTCCCAATACAACAGCAAAATTCACTTTAACGACTTCAATGAATCCAGATACAGCAACACAACTCACATCAGAAACTTCTTCAATGAATCCAGTTACAACAACACAACTCACATCAACAACTTCAATGACTCCCAATACAACAACACAACTCACATCAGAAACTTCTTCAATGACTCCCAATACAACACAACTCACATCAGAAACTTCTTCAATGACTCTTGACACAACCACAGAATCCACATCAACAACTTCAATGACTCCGAATACAACAACACAACTCACATCAACAACTTCTTCAATGACTCCTGATACAACAGAATCCATGTCAACAACTCCAATGGCTCCCAATACAGCAACACAATTAACATCAGAATATTCTTCAATGACTCCTGATACAACAACAAAACTCTCATCAGAAACTTCATCAATGACTCCAATACAACACAACTCACATCAATAACTTCAATGAATCCCAATACAACAACACAACTTACATCAACAACTTCTTCAATGACTTCAGATACAGCAACACAACTCACATCAGAAACTTCTTCAATGAATCCAGTTACAACAACACAACTCACATCAACAACTTCTTCAATGACTCCAGATACAGCCACAGAACTCACATCAACACCATCTACAACTTCAATGAATTCAGATACATCGAGACAACTTCCACCCACATCAACTACAGCTTCTTCAATGAATCCAAATACATCAACACAAATTTCCCTCACATCAACTACCACAACGCAATCAACCATTACACCTTCAGCTCAAGCTCTGACAGATTCAGATGTGAATAGCACAACTATTCTGTCAAACATGTCATCTCCTTCTTCTTCTCCAACCTCACCAGTGTCTACCACAACCCCTCAAACTACCCTGACCACATCAATATCTGCCCAGACTCTTACAAGCATTAGCCAACCAATCAGTGACTCCGATAACTCAGATACAACAACCAACAGCGCAACAGCAATCTTTTCCACTGCACCAAAAATCACAACTCAAGTAACCAATCAGACGGCGGTTCTGCGAACAATGACGAATAATGATACATTAGTCACAGGTGCGGCTATTATCACTGCCTTCTGATTATGTCTTTTTTTCTCCATTTTCTGAAAAAGACAGATGGTTTCTATTTCGGTGATAATTACAGGATGTTAAATTAAATTCCTTACCTTCATTCTCTCATTCTGCCACATATTACATAATTTATACATTTTAAAATTAATCCTAATGGTTCAAGGCTTTGATGTGTCCTTGCCTTTGTTTCAGATCCATTCGTGGCACAGTGTAACTTTTCCCAGTACTGCACTAATGAATGTAAGAAGGAAAACATTTTTTAGACAAACCTTATTTTACTTAGAGGAGACATATTTTAATGTGGTGATTTCTGGGTATGTGTATAAATATCTGTTTTTACGTCACAGCTTCATACTACTGGATGCTTGTGGAGGTGAATGGCTCTAATTTGACAGAGAAAGAGATTGACATTTGGGTAAGAGCAGATTTTTCTAATAACAACGTCTATATAAATATATATTCAATAAAGTTGTGTAACGTTTGGTAATATTTCAATCAGGGGTGTCCAAACTCGGTCCTTGGGGGCCGGTGTCCTACATATTTTAGTTCCAACCCCATTATAACAAACCTGAACCAGCTAATCAAGCTCTTTCTAGGTTTACCAGAAACATCCAGGCAGGTTTGTTAGAGGAAGTTGGAGCTAAACTGTGTTAGACACCGGCCCTCCAGGAGCATGCCTGGACACCCCTGATTTAAATTATTGCAATGTTTTCATTGTGACATTTTATCTTTTTATTCTCATGCTTTCCCCCTATATTCAGTTTTCAGATCTTTTTAATATGAGCACCTGCTCTGCTGGATTTTCAATAACAGGAGTCAATAATACATCATGCCAAACTAGCATAGTCTTTGTGGTAAGTCTTATTTGTTTCGGAATTAAATGTTTGAATGTTGTCCAACATTTAATAATTATAAATATATATTTTTTATCTACATAGACTGCTGAGGTTAGATGTGAAGACAAGCAGAACATTCAGTAAGTCAAACCAAATTTTCTTAACTACTCAACAAAACCTCTTAACTACACAACAATAATGTGACCCTGGAGCAGTGGTCCCCAACCCCCAGGCTGCGGACTGGTAGCGATGCGTGCATCAATTGTTACCGGGCCGTACAAGAAATCATAAATTATTTCTGTTTTATTTATTATTGAAGTCTTAATTTTATTTTGAAAAATCTTTTATTTTTAAAAATTACCACATTCTGTCGGTTATATCTCGTTCACCTGAAGGCCAAAATTTAACCCACAAGTATAGCAAAATGAGTAACAAACAGACATCTTTGGAAAGTTTCTTTTGCGAAGGGGAAAAAGCCTTTTGAAGTACCTATGAACTGCCAAGGAATGGATCTATAACCCATTTGACAACAAATAGGTGAATCCAGCATGTCTATGCAAGCATGAGATCAACTGGTGGAGATCGCAAATGATGGCGGCACAGTTCACATACCACATCTTTTCTATGCACAAGTTTGTTATTTCCAATGGAGGCATGCGGCTTGCATATTGAGAACGATGCTCTCGCGCCATCTAGGGGGATCCAATTGAAAACACCTCAACTTTTCTGAATACTGCTAGTGCTACGCGAGTCACATGACGAACTGACCGATCAGCTTCATAATTTGTTTAGAATATACACGTACAGCCTCGCTTTCGTTTTTTTAAATATTGGCCACATGAAATAAGCGAATTGTCAAGCACTGACTGGTCTGAAGTAATAAAAAGGTTGGGGACCACTGCCCTGGATTACAAAAATTAAAAAAACAATATAACAATAAAACTTATGTTGCACAGTTATATTTTTGCAAATAGCCAAAAAACATTGTATGGGTCAAAACTATTGATTTTTCTTTTATGCCAAAAATGGAAAGTTAAATAAAGATCATCTTCCATGAAGATATTTTGTAAATTTCCTATTAATAATTGATAAAGCATTGCAATCATTTAAATTTATTTAAAAAGCTTAAGGGCAATTCATGTTTTTCAATATTTAGATTTCTTTGAACCTTCTGATTCCAAACTTCCAAATAAAGCAGTTGCATCACAGCCTAATGTTATCCTAACCTAATTACTTGGATTTTTGTCTTGTTTCTAGTCCAAATATCTACAAATTCTTAAATCAAGAAGCATTTTCTAGACAAGCAAAATATATTGTCTTGTTTTAAGAAATAATATGCCAAAATAAAGTGAGTTTTTCCTTAAATCAAGCTAAATAATCTGCCAATGGGGTGAGCAAAATAATCTTGTTTTTCGATTTGTGAAAAGATTATTTTGCTTATCCCATTGGCAGATTACTTTGCTTGATTTAAGGAAAAACTCACTTCATTTTGGCATATTATTTCTTAAAACAAGACCATATGTTTTGCTTGTCTAGAAAATGCTTCTTGATTTAAGAACTTTTAGATATTTGGACTGGAAACAAGGCAAACAAAATTTAAGTAAAAAAAGCATTTTTTGCAGTGTATGACTGGTTTTGTGGTCCAGGGTCATAAATAGCCGGCAGCTAGCTCTCTGAAACTCTCACATGGTTGCCCATTGAAGCTAAGTACCTGGATGGGAGACCACATGGCAAAGCTAGGTTGTTGCCAGAAGTAGTGTTAGTGAGACCAGGAGGGGGCGATCAGCCTGTGGTCTGTGTGGGTCCCAGTATATTGCTGGGGACACCATACTGCTCAGTGAGTGTTGTCTTTCGAATGAGACGTTAAACCGAGATCCTGACTCTCTTTGGTCTTTAAAAGTCC